ATTCTTAATCACATCCTTAAGAGGCCTTGTCCACAAATGTGCTGTTTAGTCACAAGCCACAGATACTTGTCACAGGAGCAGTTCACCAACCTGGCAAACCAAGAGTCTTATGCAGGTCCGCACAGCTTCAGGTGCAAGCACAGTCCTTTACCAGCACACTCAAAACAACATACCTTTTTCCACCCCAGAAACAGACATTTCTGGGTCAAAGTGTTTCAACTGGACCTTACATTTGAGGAACAAAAAGTCAGCATCTCCTCCATTTCCAGAAGGCAACAAGCACCCAGACCTATACAGCCCCAAGCAAGGCCTGCAAAGTTTATGTGCTCCTTTTAGCTCTACTTTTCAGTAGAACATAATTAAACATCAACCCTTGGCTAGCTGCACCTGAGATGTAACACCTTAAGGGAATAACTAATCAATGTGTAATACAGATTCTCCAGCAAGTGACTCTGAGTTGCAGAAACTGGCCACAGTAAGAGTATGAACAGTGAGCCGTTTCCTGCAAACCTTATGTGTAGCTCACACTCATTTCCCTCGTTTCATCTTTCTACATTTTTCTTTTGAATCAAGTTTCTTCCCAGCATCCTATTTAAAACATATACTGACCAGGCACTGTACTGAGAAGTTGAGGCTGCTGCTCCATTAATACATTTATAATCCAAGCAGCTTTGGGGATACTGGCCTTGCAAGCACATGGAGCATTTCATTTGCTTTTATCTGATTCACTTTATTCAGGTTTATTTTCTTACTGATCACAAACTTTTGTATAACTTCTCCACAGCTCAACAAAGTGCAAAGAACAGTTAATATTTGTTGTCCCCACTTCTGTTCCTTCAGTGAGCAAACCCATTCTTCCACACCCTGCATATCTGCCTCTTACCAAAACCAGTATTTCCCCCATTTCTCCAAAACAATTTATCTTGAGCTTATGCTAAAGAACAGCCATGTGGTATTCCAGAGTTTTCTCTTAATCCACTGACAGACAGAGTCAAAGCAAAAACACCTACAAAAATTAAGCCAGCAGTTTGCATTTCAGGCACCTACTGAACTCTTAGGAAACATATACACATGAAAACATACACAACTACTCATCCCTTTAAAGTCTTGCCATTTCCATCAGGATCTTGCAGAATCTCACCTGGGTTTCTGCCTGCTTTTAACTCATCTCACCAACTAAAACCTGAAAATAACATGTTATAGTATTTAAAAGCCAGAATTCCCAGCTCTTTGGGAACATAAAGTACTAGTCAACAAAACATTCCCAGCTCAGTATTTTCAACCAGAATTATCTTTAGACAAAGTAATGCAAATAGCAGGAACAGAGCTACACATCAGTACTTGGGAAGCCCAGCTACAGAGGGCACATGGAACAACAGCTTCTAGCCTGCGTCAACTGAGAGAGATCATTGCTTAAAGCTCTTGTTGCCCCCCTGCCCCCCAATTAGCTGCAGGGTTTTTGTCACTGTATCAAGATTTAACAGAACAAGCCCCAGACGTAGGAACTGGTTAAATCCTGACACTGGATGTGGCTTCACTGATGTTGCTTCCACCTTTTCTTTGGCTCTTTCACAGTCTTGAGGTCATTTTTTGTGACATTTTCCTGAGATCCACTTCTAACCTTCCTCCCCCTTGAAAACACACGCACAAATATGAATGGCAGGCATGCAATCTGCACAGAGCCACAGCACAGAAACTTGCACCTTGCACTCTTTTTCTATGTAAATAATGCAAGGATCCTGCGGGAACATGCCAGGGATTGGAATTTTTAATTAATGGGTCTCTTTAATGTGCAAATCAGGAGCAGGCTGCAAATTCTGACTTGCATTGATTATGAAAAACATTAATTGAACGTGCAAGACCCCAAACAGAGGCAACATCTCAAGCCCTGGACTAGACTGGAAGATATGGTGCAAGAGAATACAAATGTATCTTGAAGAAACAGACCCTGGGCAGCAGCACCTCAGGAACCTGAGCTGTGGGAGCTCACGTGCGCGGTGCATTAAACATTTGCGCTCTGCTGTGATTTCAGCATTAAAACCCACTCTAACTTGCTCCATGGATGCAAACCAGGAATAAACAGAAGCTCCATGACCACAGTTTGCTCTCCAATTTGTATGTAAAAAGTGACAAAAAAAAAAATATCTGGAACGTAATTAAAGATTAAATAAAAAAAAAAGGAGGGGGAAAGAAAAAGTAAGACAGCGCAAACAAAGCAAGGCTGTCTCTTTAAACAGAAATTCATCCTATATAAATTATGGCCATAAACTTTTCCTGCAGTGCAGCCTAATTAATTCTTGTTCTATACACAAAGGGAAATGCTGGGTGACAAATGGGTGTGAAGCCTGAAAGCTGCCAGGTCTGCAAAACATTTTCTACTTCAATTTATAAGCAATTTTGCAGTAAATCATCCAGCAGAACCTGAGATCTCAGGAATCCAGAGTGTCCAAACCATGGGGCATCATTAAAGAAAAAAAAAAAATTACAAAAAAAAAAATTAAAACACTAGAGGCTTTGTAACCTCTACTCTCAAAATTGGGAAAACAAGCATGACCTTACTGCGTTCACTCAGATTTAGCTTTGAAACTGCAAATGTATAGAGCACTGCTGCCTGCTCTTTAACACAATTATACTCAAACCTAAGGGGATTTCACTACCACCACTAACCGCACAGAGGGTTGCCACAAGTGGGATACAGCAAGGAGACAAATACACGAAGGACCATTTTCCACTTCAAAAAATTCATCCTTCTTGTGAGCACAGAGCAGAGATTTCCTGAGAAATGGAAGAACTTGGGATAAATCACTGAGTGCTCTGGGACAGCTTTCAGAGATGCAAAGGACCTGTGCAGGTCCTCAGAGAGGTGGGTGCAGAGACCTCTATGCACTCCTGTCTTCAGCAGGCTACAGAGCACATCCAGAGTCTGAATTTTTGGCACCAACTGCTTTGTGCAACATCAACATGAAATCATTTCTTCCTGTTCAATGAAAGCATGCCAAATTTCTGTAGTGGATTTGGAAAGGAGCTGAGGCTTGCCTGAAAGGGGAGTACTATCCTGTCCAAAACAGTGTCAATGTCATGATTATCCCAAATCCTGTCCAAGACCAAAGCGCATCACATACAATGAACCACCTCAACATTCAGTATTTAAAGTCCCATCTTACTTTACAGGACACTCATCTTTCAACTTACTCATGCACAATTCTTCTATTTTTTCAAGTCTGGGGAATGGGATCCTACTCACCCAATGGTAGCACAGAAGGGATGAGAACTCACGAGTATTTACCCAGCCTACTACATGCCCATTCAGAACCAAGTAAGACAGTTTATTAAATATATTATGATGTATACTTTCAGAATTACTTAGTTTCACCTCCTGAATGGACAGGCCACAGCCCTGCTATCCAGGCAGAAGTTCTGGACTTAAAATGTAGCACAGCTCAGCCTGCACACTGGGTAACGCTCTAGCTGTTGATCAGACATGAATCCCTCTCACAAGGCCTAACACAGCAAGAGAGAAACAGGTCTTTGCCACGTAACACCAACTATATCCCTAGTCTTTCAGAAGATCTTCATGTCTAAGTTTACTCTTTATTTCATGCTTGGCACTTTGTAACCTCTGGAAAGAGCATCTTTGCAGGACAGTGAAAGACAGCTGCACTGCATGGTAGTGTAGCTCATCAAAAACTAGTTTATTGTAACCTACTCCAGCTTTATTTTCTTCCTGTCTTCACAGATGAAATCCAGAACACAAACCTAGGCTACCAGGGACATCCGAGTACACTACCGCAACTTTCTGTGATAAGACTAAGAGATGAGAGTGGGGAGGAAACTGCTGGGCAGTTACTAACAGTGGATTTTGCTTCAGTGTTCTGAACAACTGAAAGATCAGCCTCCCTGCTGTACTGCGTACAGTATTATACTCCATGATCTTGGATGTATTTTGCTTATGGGAAATATCAAAATGTCAACCATTGTTTCTGTTAAAGGTCTTTAATGATATTGCATTTTAGACCTGTAATGAAACATGGTGCTCGGTGCAGTTTGTAATGCATCTCATTAAATACATTAATAACATGTATTTCACTGAAAGGTCAGCTTAGTATTGTTGGGAGTTTGCCTTTTTTCCCCTTAATCACTTAATTTAAAGCAGCAGAGCTAAGTTTAAAATGTAACAGATCTCACCTGCTGTAACTCCAGATAAGCTGATTAGCTGCCATGTTCAGGTGAGGTATACGCCCTAAGATGGGAGTCTACACCTGGTGTAGGCACAATGATGGGGAAAGTTCCTAATCCAGTTTTGAGATGAATTGTGCCAGGCCAGGCCAAAACTGTCTCAATGCCTCTTGATGTTCATTAATTTGTGACTTCTATAAAGTTCATTAATTTGTGATTAACGCAATCAGAAGACAGCATGTCAGGGAGAGACACCAATACCTGCAGTCATTAGTATTTGTTCCTAAGGATAACGTACCAGACATTCATCTCCCTGTGCATTTAACTCCAATAAAAAAAGGTGTCTAATTCTAAAAATTAAATAGACCCACAACACAGTGAAGTACTTTGCAATTACCAGCTGGAGCACGCAATTGTATTTGCCATATTGGAGAATCTACTACAAATCTCACCAGATCAATATCATTAATAGTGATCCTAAGAAATAAACAGATAAAGCAGCTCCAAGCTGAAAAGGTATTTGCTGCTGATTTAACAGCACAGGCCCTCTCTTATGGGCTTCATTATTCCTGGTTAAGGCAAATTTTTGTATTCACTGCCCCAGCACAAAATTGCTACCACAAGGTGTCTCTGGACAAGGTGTCTCTTTGTCTGGGGTAGAAAACAGGTGGAATTTCATTAACAATTAAGGCAACACAAACCAACAGCTAACACAAGACACCTGGAACTCAAAGCCCTCACCTTCCTATTAACTCTTTCCTACACAGGCAAACCATACTGGCTACAGTAGTCTAACTAAAGTAGAGAAATAAAAGAATTCTTACAGTTCTCAACAGCGTTGTCAAATTCCTGTCCACCTTCCTTCCTGAAGGTTGGGTAAGTGTCTGGCTGTGGAAGCCGGTTGACTGTTACAAGCGCCTTCTGCATCTTGATTCTCCCTTCCAGTAGCTGATCCCACAGAGCTTTATAAAACAGAGAAAATAAAGCAATATGATCCTGACTGCAATTCTAGAATCCACAAAAGAAAAATCATCTTTTTCCTTTACTGTTTAAAAGTACATTCTGCACATGGGGGTTTGATCATTTAATAGGACAGACAGGAAGAAACTGCAGTCAGTATAACATTTTCAGAAGAAACAGAAATGGCATCAGCACTCCCACTGTGGTAACTCCCCATCCCCACCAATACCACAAGCAATTTACTACTGGTTCAGTTAGGCCAGTGGATAAATACACTTCATAACCTGAGATTTTGTAGCAACAGTGACACCAGCTTGCCTAGCAGATTTGGCAGACCATTTGCAAATGTGACTAGAGCTGCTGTAGCATGCCCATGCAGTATGCTAACAGCATGTTAACATGCTGAAGTGGTTCCTAACATGGCCAGTTTCTATGATGTCAGCAATGTGAAAGGCTTGACAAAATACAAGGCAAATGTGTACAAACCTAGCTGATTCTTCACTGCTTTTCCTTTTTCTACTTCTTCAGTCTCTTGTCCTTTTGAGAATGTCATCACCCCCCCATCATCTTCGTGGTCTTTGGTTTCTTCTACACTGTCATGGCTTTCACTCTCATATTCCTCCTCATCACTTCCTTCTTCCATGCTGGCATCATCTTCATCTTCATCTTCCCCTTCACTGATTCCAACATCATCCATCCCCTCTGTAAATTTCTCAAAGTCTGTGATGTTCTGGAAGCTGAACTTTGATTCCTTGGTCTTGGCAGACGGATCTGTCTCTTCATCATCTTCCAAGTCATCCTCTTGGTCACTGCCAGCACTGCCCAGCTTCTCCTTTGTTTTAGTGCCTAAGCTGCCATTCTCTTCCGAATCCTCGCTGCCACTGTACCAGTCATCTAATGCTTCTTCAGCTAATAATTAAAAGAGAAAACAGTTATTTATTTACCAGCAAAATACGCCTTTTTGCAGCCCGCATCATCAACAGTTACAGGTTTGGCCTATTTGAGCTCCAAACTCCATTTTATCATCATACAACATTACTCCTGAATTTCGGGAAGGCACTTCAAGACGTCCAACCTAAATGTACCTGTTTATTGCCCTGTAACAGGGACCTAAAGTTTGGCATCTCAGCTCACACGGCCCTAGCTCTGTAGTTAACTAATAGTTAACTACTCAAATTTCAACTAGTCTAGTGAAAAGGGGAAAGAAACGGCATTTCTTACCGGATCCTTCTTCAGATACAGCATCTCCCCAGAGTTCTTCCTGCAAAGCTTTGCGGGATGTTGCTTTTCCACTGTACCTTTTATCAGCTTCCAAGAGAGAGGCTGAAGCTTTTTTCCGTATGTTACCAACAGGTAAAACGTCATCTGCAGTTTCATCCTCAAATCTGTCAATCACTTTAGCAACTGTAGCTGTGGGGAAAAGAAAAAGGGGGGGATGTCTAAAATGAACTGAATTTCAGACTAGAACCACCAGCTGCAGGAAGGAGTCATGGAAAACTCCCCATGCTCCACAAACAAACATATACTGCAAAGGTGAGCTGGATAGCAACACAGCCTCACAGAGGAGCCTGGCTTTTAGGCCCTGAGAGCTGAATTCTTTCTTTTGAATGAACATTGCCCACATTCACTCTTTCCTTCCTGCCTCCTCTTTAGAGAGCACACCTGAAACTAAGCCTGCCCAAGCGCTTCCAGAGATTCATGAGAAATGCAGTCCTCCAGGTGCAGGGCTCAGCAAAGTAGGACTGCCTTCACTCCATGCTTACAGAATGAAAGAGGAAGCCTGCAGTTCAGATGCACTTTGGCCTCTTGCTACACAAAAATACATAAACACTTCAGAAAAGCTAAACAGAGAAAAATCATTTCCCTTGGTTATTACCCTCTTTCATACCCATCTTCTCCAGAACACAGGTACAGAGCAGTCCAGCAAAGAGAACACACCATACCAGCCCACCTCCCTATTTCCATTCATGTGCAAGACACCCTGCATGCAAAATTACAGGGTTAGCTTTGTTCACCCAACTGAGTGATCCAAGTGGCTGAACATCGCTAAGTGCTCTTTTAATGTTCTTTGGAAATGTAAATGTCTCACATATAGTGTTTACCCGAGGCAGGGGGGAAGGAAAAAACATCTGCTCACAACCAAAGCAGGTCTAAATACAGTCAACCCAGCTACAAGAGATGCAGAGCACAAAGGAGTGAATGGGCAAAAGGGGCAGACCTGTGGCGCTCAATGAGTCTTCTGGCACTCTCTGTCTTGGCACCCCTGATGTATGAAACTAAACCATGATTATTAAAATGGGGAAGCATCTCTGCCGACTACGTTAATTTCCCAATGGTTACTAAGAGGTTGCTTACAAGACATTATTGCTCTCACACAGATTTGTACAGAGGATCCAAGCCAGCTGGCACATTTACCATGAACAGCGCCTAGTACCTCCTATCACCAACCAGTGCCAGTGTGTGAGGGCTAACTCACAGTCTCCAGAGGCGAGTGCAGGAACCTGGGACAAGATGTCCTACAGAGGAGCCCTACCCCATGGAGAAAATGCTCTGGAGAGGGTAAGCCAAGGAATCAGCAGGCACCAGCCTGGAAAGAGGACACCGCCACCTACATGCCATGGGAGAAGGGATGGATACCAAAAACCACAACTAAGGCAAAACCACCTTGGTTAAAGATACAAACCGAGACTTGCCCGTTGTTTGGCATCAGACAACACGTGTGCAATGTGCTGAGCCCTACTCCGCGCACACGGAATGTGTACAGGGCTGTCACCAGCGGCCCGGCCTCCCAGCTCCCTCAGCCGGCCCGGCCGCGCTGCTCCGGCAGAGGAACCGTCCCGTCCCGTCCCGCCGCTCCGCTGTTACAGCTCTCTTCTCCTGCAGATTCCCAGCCGGATCTGCTCCCAGCCCGGCTCTGCACAGCCCAGCCCGGCCTTGGCAGGCCTGAGGAAACTCGGCGCTGAGGCGACTCCAGCCCGGGGCCCTGAGGTAAACCCGCTCCTGAGGTAACGCCGGTCCCCAAGATGGCCGCTACCCCTGAGGTAACTCTGGTCCCCCCGGCCATGGCCCCGACCCTAAAGAAACAAACCCTGCTCTCTGAAGGGGCCCTGAGGTAACGCGGGTCCCCATGAAGGTAACTCCGATCCCTGAGGTGTTCCCGACTCCTGAGGGAACCCCAGCCCGGGCTCCTGAGGGAACCCTGGTCCCTGACGTAGCCCCTGCCCTCGCAATGGACCACCCAGGCGCGGTGCGGCGCGGCGGGCAGCTGCGAGCCGAGGGCCGCCCGGCTCTGGGAGCACAGCGGGGACACGCGGCTCCCAAAGGGGGCAGATCGAGGCGTCCGCGGGGATGACGGGGTCCCGTCTGCGGCACCGGACCGGGCATGGCCGAGCCACCCCCTCGACTTCCTCCGCCACGTGCGGCCGGTCCGGCGGCGCCCAGCAGCGCCCATCGCGCCCCCGGCGGCCGCGGGTATTAAACCCTCCTCCCGGCCCCCCCTCACCTTCCTCCGCGTCGTCCTCGGGGTCGCGGAAGCTGGGCCGGGGGTTGAGCAGCTCCTCCAGCTGCTGCGCTAAGGGCGCCGCCATCTTGTCACGGCAGGGAGGAGGGAGAGAAGGGAGGGGCCGCGGGGCGGGGCTATACAGGGGTGGAGCCATGCGGGGCGGGGCCTGAGGCGCGGGGCGACGGGCAGGGTCCTAGCTCCCGCCCGCCCGGCCGTAGGTGCCGGCTCTTGGTCCCCCCACTGATGGAGGATAACGATAACCGCATATCCGAGCTGTGGGAAGCGGTGTGATGAAGCTGAGCAGCACTGGGATAACGGTATAGTGGTATAAAAGCAAAATCCTAATATATAATATCAAATACTACAACTGCTTTAACTCACATTGCGCCTTTTTAGCACTGGTGGCTGCACAGACCTGAATTAGCTCTTTCCTTGTTCCATATGCTGAAGATCCCCAGCCTCTGCTGGAGCCAGGGTCTCTCTTAGAACGGGGGGTTCATAGTTAGCCCCAGACCTGGTACACAGACAGCTCCTTACACCAGACTTACACCAGATGGCTCCTTACACCAGAGTTACACCAACCTCACCAAATCCATACCAGCACCAAAGCTCCTGGGGTGCTTTTGCCCAACTCTCACCTAGAAGGAGCAACGAAGTGATGGAGAAGTGGCCAGCCAAGAGCATTAATGAGAACAGGTTCTTGGGTTTGCCACCAGCAGCTTCTCCAGGCTGCTTTGTGGGGTGAAGTGACCCCAAAACACACAGGTGGACCTGGAATTAGGGAATGCCAATGGGAATTAGCACATACTTTGTCACAAGGGAGGAGGGACCTTAATCTGCATCTTGGATTCAAGTTGCAGACACAGGTTTGAACTTCAGACCCTACAATGAACAGCTTCAGGGGGTCAGCCTGGACTCCAGGACCTGGGTTTTCCACAGCTGGCATTGAGATTTTCCCCAGGAAGGTGCCAACAGCAACCTGCAAACTTGAGCTGGTTTGAGCCCTGGCTGGGAGAAGAGCTGCGTAAGCTGCTGCTCATCCCCTTTGTGTCCACTCAGGACTCTTACCTGCTTTTAAAGGCTCTACAAATGAATCCGGACCTGGTTTCTAATTGGGATGCAGAGCGGTGGGGGCTGCACAGGTCGGGGTGCTCCCGCAGCAGCATTCAGTGCGGGCAGCTCTCCTACAGAGGGCAGAGGAATATCATTAATTATCGCAGCCATCCATGCTCCCGCCACCGGGGTCCTGCAGGGGATGGATGGGAAACACCCCAACGTCTCACCCCTTTCTCACACGCCCCGGGGCCTCCCCCTGTAAAACCATATGATCTCGGGTAGTGCACAGACAATATACAATTCAATGTTTATAAAAACTAATATTCACTGAAAATCACATTTCCATCACAAGCAAAACCCTTGGAGTTCATGCTGTTGAGCATCTCACTCCTTCATACTGTAGTTTGTATTTATTTCATCACGCCGTGATTGACAGGTATAATGCTCTGCATTATATACTATGTGGGTTTACCATTGCTCCAGCAATGTGACATTAAGCACTACTATCATTTGTTTTTCATTAAGACATGGGTTTATAAACCAGGAAACCTGAAAACCAGGGGACGGGTACTGTGTGTCTTCCCTGGCTTTGCTTCTAGGTCTTTCTTTTTCCTTTGAGTTCGTAGGTGTTTTATTTCCAGAGTAAAAGATGCCATTGCAAACAAAGGGAGGAGCCTGGAGAAATAAATCTACGGAAAATTAAGGAGCAGAAACAAGTGAAACAGGAGTAACGAACCACTCACCTAAGCAAAGAACCAGTGCCAAGAACCCCCCTGCGTAACTGCATTTTCAAACCTCTGCACTCTTAAAGAGTGAAAAGGGGATGTTCTCTAACCTCACGAATAATAAATAGCCCTGTTAATAAAGGAAGAGAGAGGCTTTTAGTGATGGTTAAATACTACATACCCAGTATAATTAATAAAAAATACACAGTGAGCTGCATTACTCCTTTGGAGTGAAAAATGGGCTGCTTAAAGTCAGCATTGTTTTTGCCCCTCACGCCAGCGAGATCAGGATTTCACCCACTGAGACTAATGGGACAATGGGTCGGTATAAATCCCAAATCCAGCAATGCATTAAGATTCCTGTATGTACAACTGCAAACTCTAACAGAGCCTATAGACCTGTTTCTTTTCTGTCCTGCTTCCATTGCTTACACTGGTGCAAAACAAACAGGAAGGCTACACTCACACACATGCATTGCACACATACATTACATGTGTCCTCCATGTGCAGGGGTTAAGGGGGAGCCCCAGACTGGGCCCTGCTCTGGTTACTGGGGTCAGCACAAGGAGCTGGTAGTTCACAGTGTTTGACAAGGAGATCCAGTCACTATAAACCCACATCAAGCAGAAAACGCAGTGTGTGGAAGTCACGGATTGTTAACGTATTGCACTGCCGGAGCCTCCTTCCTCCCCGTTCATTCCCTCTCTTTTGCCTTTCACTTAGCAGGGTAATTAAAAGAGACTCTCAGGCTCGCTTTTAATTTCTGGTTCACATGCCCTCAAACCACGCTGCTGTGGTTTGCACTCAGGATCATGCGGGGGAATATTTGTACCAACCCAAATCTATCAATACATCTTAATTCCAGACAATCACGAAAGCCTTTCCTGCATCACGGTGCGCTCCGTAAACCCCTCTGCCTATTTATGAACTATAAGCAGAAGCCATCAAACTGACTGACAGAATTCCTGTGGCATTTTTTCCTCTTAATTTTCCTTTCTATTTACACGCTGATTTGCTAAATGGAACTAACACCCTAAACACAGGGCACCTAAACAAGTGCATCTGGAACAGCCTGCGCTGCGAGCAAAAAGGCGCTTCTAATGCCTCACACCCAGCCTCTTGTGCTCCCGTGTATCCGTGGAGCTTGTCATCCTGTAGGAAATTGTCAGATGAGAGGGTAGCTTTGGCAGTGAAGGACCACATCATCCTCATGCATCTGTGTAATTACAGGTTATTAACAGGAATCCATTTTCCAGGGCATTTCTTAAAGGTATAAATAAAGGGACGTGTTGGAAACGTGAAGCCGTTCAGACACCACCAGCGAGTAACTCGCTGCTCGCCCGCGGAACCTGCGCTCAGCGGAGCGGTGGGAGCGAGGTGGGCTGCAGGCTCCGGGCTGCCATGGGATTCCCATAGAGATCCACGGGAATGACAGGCGCCGGAGCCTCGTCTCCTGGATTTAATTGAATTGCATTATCAACGGCAGGATTTGACCCATATCCGGAGGACTGCGCGCCGCCCAAAAATAGCTGCAAGCCCGAGCTGAGCTTATCTTTCCAATGCTTTGGCTAGCAAATGTAATTTCCCAAACCAGGCTTTCTCATTGCAGCCAGGCTATTCCATTTGAAATTTCCCTTTCTTAAATCAGCAACACAATTTGTCAGGGAAATAGGGGGGAAAAGAAGAGGAAAAAATTGGGGAGAAGCAGAAAAGAGCATTCATAAACCCACCTCCTAAAATAAATGACCCGAGAGGACATTTCGGTTATGTACATTAAAAACCACTCTCCTTATAAATATTTATTGCTGTTTCTCACCTGTGTTTTTATTGACTGGGGTGGTTGGGGTATTCCTAACCCACCACTCACTCAGAAAACACAACTGTTTTAAAGATTTAATCAACCCTTAATGGCTCTTACATCTAGGACCAGAATGAATACAGTGAGCCTGAATAGGCGCACAGCCTGAAGATGCTTCCAGCAGATAAGGATTTTAAAGGCCACCCAGAGACAATCCAAAAACAGGAAGAAAACCTTTTTTAGACAGAGCCAAAATCTCTATTTTTCATCTACAAAAAGCACACCACCACCACACCCCCCCCCCCCCCTCCGTGCAACACCCCCCGTGCACACTGGTTTGTGCAGGAACACAGTACACAGCTCTCACGGAGACACTGAGCACAACCATGCAGGGCAGTGCTCACTCCCAACACTTCCCCGCGGCTCGCTCCGGCTCCATGGAAGCCGGGGGGATATTTTCCAGCTCACATTCCCAGGCTGTGCTGTGTGACCGTTCCCACACCATATAAAGAGACCTTTTGACCATGCCACACTCAACCTGTCCTGCAAACTTGGGCTTCCTCGAGGAGCAGAGTGAAGAGTTTCATTCCAAACCATGTGAGATACCAGCAGCTGCTTTAAGGCTTGGATTCTGCAGGAAGAACTTGGATTAAAACCAATCAGGAAAAGAACTCGAATTCTTGCAGTTGCCAAAACCACTCTCTAAGAGCGCACCAAATGGCACCCAAGTGGAGCTGGTCCTCATCTGAAGGCAGCCTGTAACAGAAGGCTGCAGAGAGCCCCATTGTGCCCCTCATCCCCAAGAGCGGAATGTTGAGGACCAAGGGCATTCTCCAAGAACCAAACCATGACGTGCAATAAAACCAGCTGCACCCATCACCTTCAGTGATCCCATACACATATAGGGAAAACACTGCAGGAAAAGCAGTTGCCCTAAGACTGCCCTTACAGGAATCCCAGGAACAGAGGGGTGGTAATTTGGAGCTGTGAGGTCACGTTCACCCTGCAATCTCTGCAACACAATTCGGCATCTGATGCATAAAAGCTCTCCAAGCAACAAACTCCACTTTCCAAGCATGACCCTATGCTCTACAGCTAAAATCACCATAATAAAAATAACAACCAGAAAGGAAACACAAGATGATAGCAATCCCGGATGGATTTAGAATCAAAATATATTTGCAATGGTCCCTTTAATTTCATTTATAACTTCATGGATATTTTATTGGTGTGAGGAATGCCGAGCACCCAGTGCCATGGCAGACACAAAGACAAGACTTTCCAGAAGCTGCTCCAGCACCACAGTTCCCTGTTCCCAGCTCAACAGTGCTGGCAGCATTTAAGGATAGGTATCAGTTGTTTAAACTTAACATATATGAATTTATCTACATGGGGCAGTAACAGAAAGAGAGGCTGCAAATGCTTATATTTAACATTGTGAGAACATGCAAAGCTTCAATGCAACACTCTTATCCAGGATAAAAATCCAGACTATGGCCAAAGGAATCATTCCTGAGAGGACACTGCAACATCTGCCACCTCCTGGGATGGCAAAAGAATGTGAATCACCCTGATATTTGAAAACTGTATTTATTTATAGCTCTGTATCATGTACCCATCGCGCAGCATCTGGGCACACATACATGTATTAAAATAATAGACATCATTGGTCTACAAATCATAACTGAAGTACACTCTTCCTCCTGGGGTACAGACTTACAAATCCCCCTCTGTTCCCCAAGCAAAGGCTTGAGTAAATGGATACCAGGAGTAACAGGAGACGAAGGGCAGCGAGGAGCATCGCACAGTGATAGCGCAGGGGGACAATTAGTTTGAGCCAAAAGCAGAGGTGTTGGGATGCTGGAAACTCAAGGCATGTTAAAGACACTTTGATCAGCCTTCAAACTCTCTCTGTATAGATTAGCTCAATAGGAATAATACTTACAGGGCCTTGTAACTTTTTTCTAGTAAATGGTCCTACACATGGGCTTTGCACGAGTCCTCAGCCTCACGCATTGCAACACCCTCATCCGGGCTGGACATAGCAACAAGGTGAAGGTCAAGGAAGAAAAGATCAAAAGAGAGCAATTGCTTCTAAAACCACTCTTGAAATCCCACCGCACGTGCTGCGTGCCCATGGTTCTGCATGGAAAACCCACGGAGAACAGCACAGATTTTTCCAGGCCCTTCTCCCGCAGACCGCTATTCACCCAAGTAACGCTACTGAAGTCAATGGAAACGCTCTTGTAAACAAGGACTTACAAGAACCCAACGTGACAATGGTTTCAAAAGGAGTTTTGACTGTGCAATTGTTGCTGGATTAGGGTCTTCAGAAACACCCAGCCTGCTCTGAAGAGCACAGAATTCAAATCCACAAAGCGCAGGGGCCTCCGGAGCGGATCCCAGGAAGCACTGAAGGACACGCTCAGCCTCAAGCATGGGATCGGCTCCCGGGCTGCCCCCCCGACGATGGGCAGAACCCCTATGGAAGGGATGGAGCGTCAGGAATAAAAAAAGACAGGCTCTCCTCCCTCCCTTTTATAAGCCACTGACCTAAACTGAACCATATCGCATCGCTGCCTAAAAGAACACGGAATGAAGAGGACAAGCACCTCATTACAAAAGGGGAAAAAAAAAGGGGAAAAAGGAAAGTAAAAGAAAGAAATCTCGCTCGGCAATAACGGGTTTTCTACAAAATCAACCTATTTGGTGAAATCCTCATTGAAAAGAATTGATTCAGCAATAAACTAGCAGCAAATACAACAGCATTTATCAACAGCACTTGCCCAGATAGGTAAAAGTTTGTAATAAATAGATCGCCCATTACTTTGCTTATATAAATGCAAAAGAGCCACAAACCAGAGCACTCATACAAAAGACAAATAAATGAGTTCGACACAGGCCCAGCAGTTTAAGAAGTCTCCCCTGTATTTAATAAAGCATGAATTATTTTTATAGAAACACTTACAGACCCCTTGCAGATAGGGGGGTATTTTTACCTTTATATTACTAAATAAGACATTTTGTGTTTAAAGTGAACTATTGCTTCATCTCAGTGGCCCCTCTGCTAGGGCACAGAAATCAGGCTGTGAACAAAATAAAAACCACCATTGAAAATTACAAATTGTACAACTTTAAAGCATTTTGATATCCCCCCCTCCCCCCCCAGTCCAAAGAGATAAAGAACTGAATAGCTGGGAAGGGAAAAGTTGCTGTTTTAGCATCAATTTCTGTGTTTATGTAAAATAAAAGAGAAGCCACAGTCACTATTAGCTGAGAGACGGAGGGAAATCTGCAATTAGAGCTCACCCTGTTCTAGCAGCTCAGCAGGTGGAAAACATTTAAAGCAGTGACCTTCCAGAACCGAACCTGCTCCTTTGTGTCTAACGCAAGTCCAAGTCCTCTTGGAATCAGTGAGTTTTCCTTTTGAAGAACTGAGCATTTGGGATTCTGCAATGATTTAGAATGAAAACGTTACATCTGTTATTTCACAAGGCTCCGGGATTTTTTTGTTTCGCTTCATTTTTCTCCCTGTATCTAGTGCAAAGCCAAACATTCTCCCTCGCTGCCCCTTGCAGAACTTCAGACACACCAAATGCTATCAAATAATTGACTTTGTACCAGCTCTAAGAAAAAAGGATTAAAATGACTTTCATGCCATTGAGGTTCAAAAGCATCCAATCAGGAAAACAAAAGAAAAAGGAAAAAAAAAAAAAAAGAAAAATTACCTTTGGAGAATTAATCGAACTAAAAATGCATCCATTAAAACTCACATTTTGGCACGCTTTTTACATTGACAATACAGTTTTGTTTATGCATAAAATAAGCATTTGGAATCTGTTTCCGAAGGAGAAGTGAATAGATTTCACAACCTGATTGGTTTCCAGCTGGGGAATTGCATGCACGGCGTTAACGTGGGGTTTGTGCTCCAGCAACTGAGCCTGAGATAGAAGGAGAGGCTGGAGCTGCCGCTGAGGGCGATGCGCGCCGACGCCAGGGCTTAGGCTTCCACCAAGGCAAAAGAGCTCTACAGGATTATCAGTGGAGTGGATCAGGCTTCTCAGGGCTCTTTAACTCGAGAGAATCCCTTTTAAATTGCTTCGAACATCAAATGAAACACAAGTTATCTAAACATAAGATTTTCTAATTTTATTAAAAACGCACAAATTTTATCCAACATGTTTTCTTTCATACAGTGAATGGTCTAATATGCACTGGAGGTCACACAAGCTTAGGTTTATTCGAACAATAAAAGACATATGAGAAATTTAATATATAAAGGAAAAAAGTAGCAGCTGTTGACTGCATATTTGACCATAAAATTTAAATATTTTGGACTTTTATTTTAAAGACACAAAAATAAAACCTGTGTGGGTCTATATAAGTCATATTAACAACTCCATGAATGTTCAACAGGACTAAAAATTAGCAAAGATGTCGGGTTTTTTTTTTTTGTCTTTTTCTCTTTGAAACCTTGTAACACTTCTTAAACACCTTCTCGGGTTGCTGGTGCCAAGCACCTTACAGTATTTGTGCTATAGATTCACTTTATTTGGCAACTGTCTGGGTTTGGTGGGGTTTTTTCTTTGCCTTCTGTAAACAACACCTTTTACAAACTAGCACAGTGAACCACAAGCCCTGCGATCTGTTAGAACAGCGACAGAACAGAAAAAAGGAACTATTTTGGTTGGTTGCTCAAAATCGTTTGCTTTTGAACAAGAGGTTCTAAAACAGGCTTTATTAGCAAAACACTGAACTCCTGAATTTAACATTAGACGTAAACAGTTGACTGTTTTTAGTTCAATAGAGTCTTTTTTTTGTTTAGCTTTTCTCTCTCTGTGAAGGTAGAATACTTTGCGTTTGTTTGCTTGGTTTTCAAGTCATTTTGCCTTAGAGGTCTGGCGACCTTCGCTATGCCGAGGAGGTTTTGTACGTGTAGCTTTGTGAAGGTAGAAGAGTTGGTGCTGAGGGCTTTAACATTGAAGTATTTGCTATTTTGGCAAAGAAAACACACACAAAAAAAAAAAAAAGGAGGAAGAAAGGGGAAAAAATAAAGGAAAGTTGTCCCACCTGGTAGTCAGCAGGCTGCAATGGCTGGAGCTAAAGAGAGTGTCTTGTTGGCGAACTTTCTGAGAGACAGAAACTAACAAACAAATTCAGAATGCCAGAACCATCCTTAACCGGGAACGCTAGAGTTCTTGACGCTTCCTTTTCCCCCTTTTTTTTCCTTGACTTTTCCTTCTTTCAATTATTAATTTGTGGGGTTTTTTGTGTTTTAAAACAAGAAGTTCCTAAGGATTGTGGCTCTTAGGATGACATCCGACAGGGTAAGCACACTCACGCCATCCTACGGTATGGCAGCACTTTACTGTACAGCTTCACCAGTTCCTTTGTCAGTGGTACAAAAAAAAGTCAGTCCCTTTGCTTGTTGGATACAACCGTTAACGCGGAGATTGTCCTGGTCTAGAACAAAGCTTCCCTTGGAGCGATTTGGGTTCAGTTCATGCCCAAGGTAATATTGTCTCAGGGCAGGAGAGATGTTCTATGCATTCATTTCTGTACACCGTAACAATAAGCAGACTAGATGATCATCACTTACTTAGACCCAGTTTGTTTTAAAGCTACCACACTGCCGCTTCGTTCATTTCGGGGGGGTGTGACAAGTGATTGCCGTAGTTAGCACCGCCGTTGACAGATAGCGAAGAAAACGGAGGACTAGGGCCAAAAACTTCCGCGGACATGGAGTGCAAGGACCCGGGCAGGTTGGGTTCGGGGCTGGGCGAGTCTCCCGGGGGATGCGACATGATGTCAGTGAAGCGCTGGGCCTCGCTGGGGGGGTGATGTCCGGGCAGGGGGTGGTCCATGGCCCCCAGAGGGGTGCCCGATGGCCCCGACGAGGGCACGAATGGGAGATCCACGGGTGTCTGAGTTTGGGATGATGGAGGTCCTTGTGGGAAGAAATCGTAATTGCTTCCAGGGCCGTAATACTCGCTCTGATAATCTGCCGGGCAAGGAGAGACAGAAGGAAGGTAACACACAGGCAAAGCAACCGAGTGGAAAAAGACACGAGAGTGCATCTGGAAGGGGGGGGGGGTTAGGGGGGTGTCTTGAAATGTCACCCAGAGCTCAACAAACACAAGGCAGGGGACGTGCTGATGGCCTGGCCAGGGTAGGGGGGAGGCGCTAACGGCCTGGCTGGTTCCCGGGGCTGCCCTTCCAGCAGAGCCCGGTCTGCAGAACCGGGGGGCCCCCGGTGCGGGCGCGGAGCCGGAGGTGCGGTATCGCGACAGGGGGTGTCCGGAGGAGAGGGGAGGGGCGCGATACCCACCTCCGTAAAAGGAGAAGGGCCCGTTGGGGATGAGCTCCCCGGGCTCCAGCCGGTCCACCAGCGGCCGCATCCTGCGCGGGCTGCGGAAGAAGGCATGCCGCCGGGCGCCCAGCGCGCTCAGCTGCTTCATCCGCCGCTCCTTGGAGCGCCGGTTCTGGAACCAGACCTGGGCGGGCGGCGGGAGAGGAGCCGGTCACCGCGGGAGGGGTCTCTGCTCACGGCAGCCCGGACCCCCCCCACGTTTCCCGTTCGTTCCGGCGGGGGGGACCCGATCCGGTGCACCCCGCTCCGCGCTGCTCCTCGTTCCAAACGCGGCCGAACCCACCCGTGACCGCGGCCCCGCGGCCGCTCCCCGCCGCCCGCAGGTCAAGAATGATCGAGTTAATTCTTATTACCCTGACAAGATTACTCCTAATTACCCTCACACTGAGCCTCTCCAATCTAACCTCGTCTTTAATGGTCCTTTAACCCCCCATTACCCCCAGCGCCGCGGGTTTATAAACCCTTTAATAATTCCAGTGTATTCTCATTCTTATTTATCCATTAACCCCTCACATTTATGGTTATTAATTTCGATACCATTTGCAGCATCCTTTAGGACTTTTTTAAAAGAAACCCGCAGCTCTGCCCCTGCCCTCACCGGGCCGCCTCGCTAACAACGATTTAAACGGGAGGCGGGGAGGTTGCCCCGGGGCTTCCCCCGAGCACCGGCCCCTCCGCGGCAGCGCATCCCCGGCGCCCGGGGCCGCGGTACCTGGATGACCCGCATGTTGAGGCCGGTCTCCTGTGCCAGCTGCTCCCTGATGTGCCGGGTGGGTTTTGGGGTGGCCGCGAAGGCGGCTTTCAGAGTCTCTAGCTGTTTGGCTTTGATGGTGGTGCGGGGCCCCCGCCGCTTCGCCCCCAGGTTCTGGTCGTCGTTTTCGTTGCTGCCCGTCTCCTTGTCGGACACGTTGGCGCTTTCCGAGTCCTTGGCGTCGTCCTGGGAAGGGTCTTGGGAGTCGGGGGACAGGCTGGGGTCACTGCCGGTGGTGGCTGGGAGACAGCAAAGCGGAGCACGCTCAGATTGGGGGGGCCCGGGAGAAAACACCGATTGCGGGGACGGGCCGGTAGGACCAGGAAGGGGAAAAGGGAGAGGAGAAGAGAAGGGAGAGGTGAAGGGGAAAAGAGATGAGAAGGGAAAAAGAGGAGAAGGGAGGAGAAAGGGAGAAGGGACCGGAGCGGAGCCGCTCCCACCCCGCGCATGCCGAGCGCATCCCTGCAACTCCCCGGCCGCGCTCCCTCACCTGAATGCAGGCTGTTTTCTTTGGCAGTATTGCTGTTATTTAGGTAATCTTCTTTGCAGACAAACTTGTTTTCGTCTATGATGTAGAGCTCCTCGCCGGTGGAGAGTTGCTTGTTACACATCATACACGTAAAACAGTTCAAGTGGAACACTTTGCTCCGCGCCCTGCGGACCAGATCGCTGGGGGAGATGCCCTGGGCACAGCCCGCGCACTTGGTCCCGAAACACCTGCGGGGAGAGGCCGGGCAGCGGGTCAGCGCCGCCCGCCCGAGCCGCGGGGACCGCTGAGAGCGGACCGCAGCCGGGCCCCGCGCCCATCACCGCGGCCTCCGCTCGCCCCGCGCAAAGGACATTCCGTAAAATAAAGCATCCCTCGGATTGTTTCCGTCCCTAACCAGAGGAGGCTTAGAATTATGTCTTAAAAGAAAAAAGAAGGAATAGGGAAAAGGACCCGATCCGGGGCGGGTGAAGTCTGAGGGACGATTCAGCATCGAGGCGATGTCCGGGGCTCGCCCCGGCACAGCAATTAACGACACGTTAATCGATATTAAGCATAAATTCGTGTTCGTTATTCACCGGCCGCGGCCGCGCATCGGCCGGAGCAGCGGCCGCTCCAGGCCCGGCGGGCGCTGGGGACCCGCACCGGAACAGCACCAGAGCCTGCAGCGCTCCGCTCCACCGGGGCACCCCACGGCCTCTCGGTGCCAGGCAGCTGAGCAGCGGGTCACTGGTGCAGCCTTCGGTGTGCGGCGAGGAGGGCCCGGAGAGCACACCGGCCCTGAACCGGTCATCGCTGTCGCTGCCGGTGCGCGGCGGCCCCGGCCGAACAGGGGCACCAGGGCCCGGGATTCGTTCGATGGAGCCCGCCGGGATGCGCGGGGGATGCGGCTGCGAGCGGGTGTCGGTACCCAACGCCCCTTCCATCGATCCGCCAGCAGTGGGTGGCTACCCGCCGGCGCGGCCTCGGCTCCGTTTAACGGGAGTTACAGGGCCCGCGGAGCCGCGCACTGAACCGCGGAGCTCCGCTGCACTGGGCCTCCATCGCGGTGCGGCTGCGGGCAACGCCGAGCTCTGGCCGGCGGAGAGCGGCTGCAGCGGCGGCGACAGCAGCACCGGGACCCGCCGGTCGATAGTTCCGAGGCAACTTTGGGCAAGTGGAGCGCGGCCCGGCCTCGACGGGGCGCCAGGGCCTGCCCCGGCCTGAACCCCCCCCCCCCGCCCCACAGCGGGACCGGCGGGAGGAAGAGCGACGGGTGCGGAAGAAAAAGGTGTTTGTGGATCACGGTGACAACGGGGGAAGGCGCATAAAAACGAAACGGGGAAAAAAGGAGATGAGAAACGGCTGCGGAGGAGCTACGGCCGCGGGCAGGGGCCCGGTACTTACCGAAAGAAGTCGTTTTTGCAGTAAAGCTTGCCTTCTCGCGAAAAGCATTTCTCTGTCAAATTGCATTTACATTCACAGCACTGAACACACTTCACATGCCAAGCCCTGTCCAGTACATTCAACAAAAACCGGTCCAAGATTGGCCTTTTGCAGCCTGCACAGTGAACCATTGTCTTTGGTTAGTTCTGAGAGCGGGGGTCGGTTTCCCAGATGTCAAGCAAAAAAGAAATTAAAAGATGCGGTTTTTTTTCAAGACGACACCGGCGGAGGTTTGCTTAAAATTTGTGTTTGTTTTAAAAGCCTCGGAAAAGCGAAGGAGGAGGAAAAGAAAAGGGAGGATGAAAAAAAAAAATATTAATAAAAGAATCTTCGTTCGAGTGTCCTAGGAGGGATACACAGGAGAAACCACCCACTGCCCGAGGAGACCAGCGCTTCCACACACCGCAGGGTCCCGGCCGCTACCAACCACGACAGCAACAGCGAGAGTAATTATAGGGACGAGAAAAGGACAACGACAGAAAGATCGGCGCTCGTAAAAAATTAAAAACGATTCAAAAGGGGAAAAAAAAAGGAAAAAATTAAAAGGAAACAAAACCCAAAAACCCAACGGCAAAAAGCGAGTGACGAGTGTTTCTCAGGTCTGAGGTAGAGCAGTCAGGAGTCAAAGTGCTTTTCCCAAAGAGAAATCAAAATCAAAATGCAAAATTAAAAAGGAATAAACGACAAACGGAGACATGGGGCCGCCGCGCTCACAGGGGCTCTGCCCGCCGCCGCGGCGACATGGCGCTACGCGCCCGCGGAGCGGAGCGGGCCGCCGTCCTTACGCGGGGAGGTGGGGGGGGGACACGCTCCGCAGCTCCTCGCTCCGTCCTCTCGCCTCTTCCTCCTCTCCTTATCTTTTTCGCCTCTCTCCCTCGACGTCCCGGCGGTGCCGTCGCGCCTGGTTCCTTCCTACCTACCCCCGCGCACCGCCCTGCGCGCTACCCGCGGCGGCCGGCCGCGTCCCCGCCGAGCCGGCGCGGCATCGCCCGGTGCTGCCGGCTGCAGTGGAGCCTCCCGGGGCGGCGGCGGGCCGGGCCGGGCCGGGCCAGGGCAGGGCGGGCAGAGAGCGGCGCGGGCCGCGCCGTCCCGGCCGCGCAGGGCGCTCTGCATGTTCCCGGCAGCCCCGCGGCCGCAGCCTTATGCACCGCGCGCACACGTCACCGCCGCTCCCGGCCAATCGCCGCCGTCGCCGCTGCCGTCCCCGTCACCCCCCCCCCCCTTTTTCCCGCGCCCGCCGCGCCGCCGCCGGACGGGGCGTCCGCGCCCCTTTATAGAGCCGCCGGGGCGCCGCCGCCGCCGCGCAGGGACGGGCGGGCGGGTGAGCAGCGGCCGCCGCCGGTCGGGCCCGGCCGAGGCGCGCCCCGCTCGGAGCGCCGGGAGCGCGCGGCAGACGGTAGGTGTGCCGGTGCGGTGCCAGTGCGCGGGGGGGGGGGGGGAACGGCGGGGGAATAGGGACGGTCGTTGAGGTCTGGCACCCCCACGGGGCTGCGCATCCGCTATAAGCAAACACCGCCCGGGGCCCGTTGCAGACGGTTGAAGAAGCGGAGCCAAACGAGTTCCCGGTTTAACGGGGGTGCCCCCGTCGTAAACGGCGGGTCCCGAGGCCGGGGGCGCGGAGCGGTGTCCCCCGCCGGGAACGCACCCGCGGCGGATCGCCTTTGCCGGAAGGAAAGGCGCGGAGAGGCCGGGCCCGCGCGCTCCGACGGCAGAAGGCAGGCTCCGGTAGCGGACGGTGACTCCGTTCCCGGCGCTCGTAGCGCTGCCGCGGATGGACTTTTTTAGCAGTTGTTTGGGTTTTTTTTGTTGTCAAATAAAGATTCCTTTGCTTTTACCTTCCAGGGGCCCGGTCTGTTCCGGGCCGGTTTAGGAGGGCCGTGATTTCTCTTTGCTGCCCAGCGCTCCGGGAGGTGTCACCGCCGGGCCCGGGACCCTCCCGCTCCTCCCCGCGCCGGAGCCCCCGTGCTTCCCCCCGTCGCGGGCGGGTGGATTTCGCTAGCGGGAAATTAGGAGGGAAACGGGGGATTAAAGGGCCTGAGCGGGTTACACGCACGGCAGCGGGATGCGTACTTTCCGCGGCTGCCCGGGGAACGGGGGGTGACGGAAGCCGACCCCGGAGCCCGCAGCATCATCATGCTCCCCTTTTTATGTCTCTTTTCCTCGTCCTTGTGAGGAAAAATAAAGACGTGGAGAAAGGAGAAATTGGAACATAAAAAAGGAAGCGAAGGCAGGAAAACCCTCACCGCGGCGCGGGGCTCCGGCCTGGGGCGGATGGGCCCGGTGCGGGGCCTGCCGAGCCCGTAGAGCATCACCCCGTGCCGAGGCACCCCTCGCTGCTTCTGCGGGTGTTTAAAAGCCGCGGGCCCTGTGTCCGTCCGCCGCCCGCCCAGGTCTCCCCGGAACCGGCCATCCCCGCCCTGTCGGGGCCGCGCAGGGCGCTCCGCGTCCCCGCCCAGCTGTTGCTTTGCTTTGCCGGCGGTTGCGGGATCAATGGAGGCCCGGGCGGGCTCCCCCCGGCCGGTGCCCGCAGCTGGGCAGCTCCCAGGCGGAGCGGGCCCCGTTCCGCCGCCCGGGAAGGCGACAGCTGCGGGCTGGCGTCAGGGGACCCTTCCCTTTGACCGCGGCCCCCTGTGACATGTGGCGGTGGGGATGAATGAGGGGAGGGAGATGAGCAGCTTATGTCCATCAAGCACCAGGGTTTCACAGCGATTTTGTTGTGTGTTTTTTTTCTCTCTCCTTTCCCAGGCGTTAGCGAAAGCAGCTGGTTGTCCCCTGCCCCTCCCGTCCCGACGGCTCCGCGCAGGGCCTGGGGACGCCGAGGCAGGCACACATCACTATGCCCCTATCCACATCACGATCCCGTCCGGTCCCCCGGGGTGCGGAGGGCGAGCGGTACCCGGCACCCGCAGTGCCGCGACAGTGACTTACCGGCGGGTCTCCCTTCCACCCCAATACACGCACATCCCCGTTGCCGTGGGGTGTAAAAGGGCCAAACACCCCCTAGGGAAGGGGGACCCCGGGTTAGAGAGGGTATTTGAGCGGTGAAAATACCGGTGCTGTTTCCAGCGAGATCCGAGAAAGCAAAACCCCACCGAGCTCGGTCCCCAGCGGGACACGGCGGGGGGCACCCACGGGGCATGAGGGAACGGGAGAAATCCCCGCAAGCCACGGGGATGGGCGGCACGGCAGCGCCCGGCCGGGCACAGCGCATGGGGTGGGGATTTGATTTCATTTCACTTCGGTTTTTCATTGTATTCCGCAGTTCCCCCAGGCCCGGTCCCGGCCGGACCCAAGTCCTTGGTGATGATGGGGTGGCGGGGCCGAGCCTATCCATACCCGGGGAAGAACTGTGCGGGCTATTCAGAGCCGAGCGGCCCGGGAGCCGAAAAAGAGGGAAATTAAAAGAGGAAAATAATGTTAATAAAACTCCCTCGAATTTATTTTACATCTGATACATAAGGGGGAAAAAAGGCCCCTTTTAGGCGCGTTTGAATTTGCATTTTATAGGTGTCGTTCCCGTCTTTTTAGTTAAACATCACTCCGGTTATCAGCAGCCTTTCTACACCGCTGCGCCCGGTAATGGGATTTCTCTCTCCTTTACGGGGCACTAGTGCTGTACAAACACCGGAGCCGCTCGCCCGGCCACCGGCAGAGCCCCGCGGCGAAGCTGAAGAAGAAACGTTCCTCCCGCTCGGGCACGGACGCGCTCTCCGTGTCCATCCCAGTTCTTTCCCTCCTTCCCGGACTCCTCCGCATCCCGGGGGAACGCTGCTCCCGCATCTATCGGGGAGCACCGCGGCGGGTCGGAGCACCCAAGGCAGCGCTGCGAGGGGACAGCGCGGGTGAAGCGGGAGTATCAACCCCCGGTCACCCCTTCTCCCCTTCCCGAACTTTTCCCCGTAGGAAAAGCACCTCCGCCTATTAAACATCTTCGCGGCCGCTGCCCTAACCAAACATTGAAGATGTAATTAAACCCGGTAAAACAACCCCGCGCGATAACCCCGTTGCTGGACAGGATCCATCGCCGCGCCAGGTTTGGTTTAGAGGAGCTTGGACTCCCCAGAAAATTCCTTAAAATACCTATCGGAGGGTCCCGCTTGGTTCTGCTGCGCTCGGGGCGATGCCGGGGCGGGGAAGTCGGCACTGGCTCCGCTCGCCTTTCCCTGGCCTTATTTATTCTGCTGCCCCCTTGATTAGCTTTCCCCCCCTTGCCCCCCGCCCGGGTTTCTTTCCATGTCGCTAAATGTTGTCGCTTACACTCGAAGCTCATGCATTGTTTATGGGAAATAGAGTTAATAAATTATTGCAAATCCGAGGTGTGCGCCCATGCGTCTGACTGAGGGCTGCCGGCCGAGGGGAAGGGGAGAAGGGCCTGGGAAAGGGAAAAGGGCCCGGGAAAAGGGAAATTCCCCAGGAAGGGAAAAAGAGCCCGGGAAGGGGCCCGAGCCCACCCGGGAGCGCGCTGGGGGTCGGGGCAGGGCTGTGTGTGACAGCCGAAGGGGATTCTTCCCCTTGTTAAAGACAGAGAAAAGGGCAGAGAAAAGACGAATAAAAGAGAAAAGAAGGAAAAGTAAAGAGGTGGCGGGGGCGGGGGGAGACTATAAAAAAGGAGGGTGAAACAAACCCCGGGAGGACGCACCGATCCCGGCTCATCCATCTTCATTGTCTCCGTGTGTGCAAAAGCAACTCCGGTATAAGGAAAAGCCACTATCAAAGCCATGGCTTTATTTTATATCCTATAGATCAGGAGGGAGGCAAAGCTTTATTTTCGCCCAGAGACAGATATTTTATTTCTCTCTTACGGTTTTATGTGTGAGAGATGTCAAAAAGGTAAAATGGATTGCTAATGCATAGGCAAAACGAAGCTGTTTTGGCATGCTCTGTGTCAGGAGGTCTCCCAGGGAGCGCGGGCTGGGGATTTAGGGCTGAGGGGAGGCTCGGGGGGATTTCTGCCAAAACAGCGCTCGCCATAAATCCAGCGCCGTGGTCAGCTCGGGCGGAAGGAACAGGGTTTAAAGGGGAAGAGTTGGAGCGGAGCGGGGACCCCCGAATCCCCTCCCGGTTCCCCTCAGCCCCGGGGGGGCCCCGTCGGCTCCTCGATCGCTTCTTGCCGCGGCGCTGGGGACCCGCCCGCACACCCCATAGCCCCGCTCCGGCGCACTCCTCACCGCTTTAATCTACATATATACATACATATATGGATTTTTTCGCCCCAAAACAAGGAAGCAGCCCCCGACCGTCGGTCCGAGCCGCTCTGGAGCGGCTGCAGGCACCCACCAGCGCAGGGCACCGCTCTCCATCCTCCTCTCCCCGAACCCCTGCAGCGGGTTTGCCAGGACCCTTTGCGAAGTTAAAATATATCTCCCCAAGCTGCAACAATTTTCCTACTTTTTGACCTCGGGGATTTACTTAGCGTGTTAAGTTCAAGGCTCAGAAGCCCAGGGCTATTACTCATGGAGGCACTCCCACCACCACCACTTTTCACCACATATTTTATCATTTGACTTCCCGGCTTAAATTCATGTTATGGCAAATAATGGATGGTAATACTTTCCCCCTTCCCCATGTTAATTGTCTTGTCTGACAACCTCCGCATTTGAAATGATTTAAAGCAAACAACGGGCGCAGTGAGACCAGGAGACAAACCAGGAACCGGCTCTTCCCTCGCAAGTTAGTGCCTGGATCCGGGGTTTGCCTTTGCCTCCAGAGCCCCCCCCCCCCAAAAAAAAAGCATCACCCAGTGCTTGTTGGGGTCACTGTTCAGCTCTGCCCCGCATCCCTTGGCCTTTGCTGCCCGAAATCCCGCTGCTCTTGAGGCGGCTGAAATGGGGAAACAAACCCGAGTGCTATTTGCAAATTAAAAAAAGCAAGGTGTAGTTGATTAGCAAATTAATTATTTCAGTCCCCCCAGGATTATATTGTTTTTCCAAGTTCTGTGGGCCTGTGTAATTTACTAATTTCACAGTCGCTGAACTTCCCTGGGAGTGAGAGTCAATCTCAGCCACCCATCTAACACGTACACGGGATCTTGTGCAGCGGCAGAGGGAAGAGGGTGTCCAGAGCTTTTCCCTGCTCCTGCCACTGACTTGGCTCCGGGAACATTCCCTGGTTTTCTTATTTCTGAGGGCCGACAGTGCTCTCCTGCCCAGCAGGATCAGATAGATCTTCGTGCTTAGAAAGGAGTAACTGCATGGACTTCTCTCTACAGACCACTGTCGCTGGCTTCCCAGATGCGCGCAGAGAAAGGGCTGCTGCATCCTTAGCAAACTGATGGAGAAAAGGGTTCCCAACGCCAAAGGGGTTTTGTCATCAGCAGAGCATCAGCTTTGGGTGTCTGCCACCACCCTCATGCAGAGTGTCTGAGGAAAATAATTGATATAAAAGAAAAAATAGGACTATCCCAATAAAACAGAGGGATAATATGCCTGAGGTGGTGGGGAAACCAGCACTGCCCTCTGCCTACCTGCTGTGGAGCACAGAATCATAGATCACAGAATAGTTTGGGTTGGAAGGGACTTAAAGCTCATCCAGCTCCAGCCCCCTGCCACGGGCAGGGACACTTTCCACTAGACCAGGTTGCCTCAAGCCTCATCCAACCTGGCTTTGAATGCAGGAGCAGGTCTGGGTTTGAGGTGATAAAGCAGCATCACCTGGACCAGGTACCACAGCACCAGGGACTTCCCTCACTCCTATGAAAATGAAGCCAGAGCTCCCAGCTGCGTTTATATCTATCTGCTTAGTCCCCACTGCTGATTAATCTTCTATATATAGATTCTACAATTTGATACCACATTACTATATAATATCCTATGTCACCCCCTATTTATATAGACTTCTATTCTAAGGCTACTGACAGGGCATGGAGGCTCTGGCCAGCATGTCCTGCTTCCTCCCTGCTTCATCACACACACACAGACCAAGGCACATGGGCTCACACAGCCTGAGTCCAACAGAGTTCCTGGATGCTGGGTGTCTGTGGCTCAGCACATTCTGCCTGCCTGGGCCAGTGGGTGAGAGCCAGGTAAGAGGCAGGGGCTCACTCAAGTGCTTATCCCCCTGTGCTGTGAGTGTGCATGCAATTAAAGAGGTCACCAGCACGCTCCAGACAGGGCTAGTTAGCACAGCACAGCACACACTGCTTGTGACACCTGAGCTGCAAATGGAGCAGTGGATTTCTATAGGGTCACCTATAGAAGATGGTGTGAAACTGGGGCATTGCAGTGAGGAGATGTGGCCAAACACCTTGTTTGATTTAAAAGATGCACATTTAAAACCCATTCCCTCCCCTTTGTACAGTAAGCGATGCTGTAAGTTTGGCTGTACACACACACAACTTATTTCCACTCTACAGCAAGGATATGGCATGCACAGCCACAATCCCAGTGCTCTGAAGTGCATCATTACGCTGTTTTCAAGATGAAAACAAACCATTTTGTTCTAGAATGTGAAATTTCATTAGTTTCAGCTAATTTTTCCAGGAGGAGCAGGGATACAGCTCCATCCCCAGGAGGGCCCTGCCTGCTGATGCTCTGCCATGCTCCAGGACAAGTCCCCCATGCAAGGCAGAGGCACACAGCAGTGTTACCAAGGGCCAATCCTCCATGCTCAGAAGCTTACATTAAAATATACATATTATTCTAAACCAACCATTCCTTATCATCTTTGTCACTCATATTCCAGCTGGGCCTGGAGATCCCTGTGGGATGGGG